AAGAAGAAGTTCTCTATCTTGAAAAAAATTTCAGCCCCTGCTTGGACTCCAGCAACAAAATCGCCTTTTCTGTAAAGCTTTCCACCCATTGGTTTGCAATGCATGGGTAGAAATGCACTGCGGAAGGACTCAACAGCTTCATCCACATCATCTGCTGTGACACGCTGTAAATATTCTAGAATCATTTGCCTCTCTTGACGAGACATCATGTGGAAATGGCCAGCACCAATCAAGACTCCCTGATTCACTTTGTCAGCTAGTGGGCCACCAGAACAAATTTTTATGAGGTACTTGGCTCCTTCCAAAGATGATGCAGTTACCTAAATCAATGAGCACAATCAAAAAGGGAATTACATCTAACTACTGTAAAGCTACTCTGAAATGCATTCTGAAGAAAAACTGCAACTGCTGTGTCACTTGTTTTTATTATACATGCACGTGCAAGCATTCTGGAGATAGTCCACTTACAAAATAACAAGTAATAAAATTATTCTATTTTGGCAAGTAAGACAGTTATTCCAAGTCGGCATGAATTACTACAAACAAATTGAAATGGATATTAGGTGTAATATGTGGTTTTATTTTATACTTCAGGTTTAATATCCTTTAATTAATTCCTTTGTATATGTTTTAGTTTAAAATGAATCCCAGGTTAAACTGATGTCAAACTTAAGGTTGATTTGTATATTTTTCCTTTGTTCCAAATGTAAATACAAAATCCTTAAACAAAGGAAAAGACAAATCACCCTAGTTTGAAAAATCATTTTAACCTCTGGATTTATTTTAACCTACAACTAAAATACATATACATGCAAATCATACCAAAAAACTAAATACAAAGATAGAACTGAGCCACAAAAACCCCATTCACAACAAAGATAAAACAAAAGGCATTTAGAAACAACCAATCCTTACAATGTTTCACAGCAAAGAACTGTTAACTTCTCTAATGCCCAGTGATGAAAAATAATATAATCGTTCTCCTCAATTGTCTGTGCATAAGCATTCATACTTGGGTGACTGTCAGTGTGCCACCATTTAATTAATGAGTGCTTCAATATAACTTGAACATAAAAGTAATCTGCTACGTAATTTACCCAATGCAAAAGTGGCCACTAGTTTTATTAATATCCTTTGTTTATATTCAAATTGGTCCTATCAACCTCAAGCAAGGTCATATAGTCAGGATAAATTTCATGTAAACTAAATCTAGTGGCCGTATTTGCATTGGTTCCATTATCATAATTTTGGTCTATTACAATTACCTTGTCCTTGTCTTTAGCCCAAGTAAATCTGCACCTTTCAGATGAGATCAGCTTAAGGTCTTGCTGAAAGTTTAGGAATTCTCTTTGACTTTCTCTGCGGGCAAAGGATTTTTCAATGTGCTTTTTATTGCTACTTTGCTGCACATACCTCTTCACAGCCCTTTCAAATTCAAAACACCAGAAATTATCTGGTGCTGAAAATCTCTGAATGTCTTCAGGCAAGTGTGTCAAGTTATGTAGATTTATTACACATGCATTAGCTCCGTATTGCTCTTCACATAAAATGCAATACCTCCAAGCAAGGCATCTAAAGTTGTCAAGCATTTCTTCACTCCAGCCATTTCTACCTGAATTGAAGACAAACTCAACCATTCTTGGAACAGGTGCCCACAGTTTCAATTCTTCCTCAGGGAGCAATCCATTCAAGACAAACTCTGATGCTGGAAAAGCCAGTTTCTGGTATTCCTCCGCTTCAAGAGAAAACCAGGAACAGGTTGCTGTTAGGTTATATAATAGTGTAAACATTATCAAGAGGATGACTTATTCACAGTGTAAGGACCCTTAAGTTAGTTATGATTGAGTGTCATGGCTATTTTTAAGTATGTAAAGCAGTAAACATCCTTTTTGCAGCTGGCTTATGGTCGTGCAAAATTTCCATAATTTCAAGAAATATATCCCTTTATAAAAGTTCACACTGTGAAAGAAAAATATTCTGCACACAGTGTACAACTGTAGATACATGGCAAAACAGCTGTTGACCCTTCGAACATTATAGTTGAGTTCTCTGAAGTCTACATTAATTTTTTATATATTGTAATTTACCCTCTCCAGACTGACAATATAATAGAAATCCAATAAATGAGCTTACATGTCCAGTAACCCATTGAATCAGTATCCAAAGGAAGGCGGGATGCACGATAATCTATAAAATAATATTATTGTGTTAAGTGAATCATACTGTTACCTAAGTCTGATTGCTGTAGCAATTGAAGTAGTTGTAAAGGAATTATACATTTCAAGCTCATATGAGTGAAATATATTTTAATTTAATCATCATTTATGCATAAGGTTTCTGAAAAATTATGACTTTGTTTCAAGAAGTAAACATAAATAAAAAAACGAGAACTGACTAAACTGACTGTGGAAGAAAATTCTGGCAATTTAGCTGTTACTGAATATTGTAATCTAGCACATGATCTCTTTGGTCTGTAAAGTTATGGAAAACAACAACAGCAGCTTATTAAAATCAGCACAGAAAGGTTTTGCTTTAGACTTGACTTCAGTAAAAAGTCAACAATCTGAATACTTATTTATGTTTTGAATGATTTCATTTACATGTACTGTACCTGTGGTCCATGGCATTTTTGCCAAGTTGGTGTCCAGGTCTTTTTTGGCAAAATAGTCTTTAGAAATCCATCGCTCAATGTTATTCTTGACCACATTGAGAGGTAACAGGTGCATAGCATCAAAGACTGAGTCCCTGAGAACATCAAATCCATAAAGAGGATAAAGCCTATGAAGCACTGATAACCCCAGCAGACCACTTTCCTTGCTTATTCTTTGGAAATAGGTAGGTCTTTCTTCCTCTTCTAATGCCTTCATCATTGGCAATTCTTCCTCAAGCAACCTCTTTTGATAAGGGTATCTGTATTGCTTCCTGAAGTTTGGGTAGTAGTTGTGGTTGTGTTCACTCAGCCATGTGCCTATATATAATGGAGTAACCAAGAAATAATGTATTATTCAAGTTAGCAAACATGTGCTTTCATTACCGTTTGGAATTGAGACAATACATTACCTAGCACATACTGTCAAGTAGACTGAAAAGAAATGGGCATTGGCATTTGCACTGCCCAAAACTTCCATCACTTACCACATATATGACATCTTTGGCAGCCTTTTCTTCCTCCAGCACCCTTTGTCTTACACACCTCACACTGAGCAGGATGGTCTCCTGTCCAAAGCAGTATAATGTGCCGAATTGTGATTTTGGCAGGAGGAAAATTTGGAAGTGATCCTGCATAATTGACTTGGTATCCTAAAAACATATAATGAAATGACATTTTTAGTCAGAAGTGCTAGGGTGGGGTCTAAAAGTTATAAATGCATGTCACTCAACAGCTTGGCTCACATTGTTGCATGATGTCATTGACCCCTACACGTGTTAGGACTCAAACTGGTGAACACTGTCTTCTTTTTGGTGTGCCAGCAATAGCATTCCAGGAGACTGAGAGCGCCTTCCATTTGCCACAACCGGTAAGCCAGACAGTCCAGTCTGTAAATTAAATGCGTCATTTTGTATGGACAGTGCTCCAAAACTGTAAGTCTCAAAATTATATGCTCTATTTTGAAGAAATGTAAGGAACGAGGATAAAACATATCTTTCAAATTGGTATGTTTTGTTTATAAACTGACCAGCCAGACTGGTCAGTTCTGACAAATGGAAAGTGCCCTAAAATAACAATATTGTACAAAGCTACAAGTGTCCTTGTCATAGTAATTATAATTAAAAATGTCTTTTGTTGACTCATTCACACAGTGACAAATAGCTTATGTCCACACCTAAATTTATTAGTTTACCTTCAATAAATCCATTTTCAATATCACTGACAAGTGGTTCAAGAAATGGGTCAATGGAGTTTGGCCGTGCATCAGGCAGGTCATAAGATGGCACAAATCCAACTGTGTAGACTTCACCTGTCTGTAAGCGTTGTTCCTTTGCCACTGTTGCCACTGAGACATCTATTGCACCTATCATAATTGTAAGTAAGTAAACAGGTTGCATTGTTAGTCAGGGAAGAATTGCAAATGTTTGCTCATATTTGTATGCAGGGTCTTGGGTGCTCAGAAAATATTCACTTTGTTACAAAATAATTATTGTATGCAGCACATGCAATACTTTTCAATTACGGAGTATCCTCAACCATTGATACTGACTAACTGTAAGATTTGAATAGATCCAATAGAATTAACCTTACCAGTACCAGTACCACGTGATTTAATTTATCCTTATTTTTACTACTGCAATATCGTTTGGGCTTCGACCTGTAAAACTAATCTCCGCCGCCTTGTTATCCTGCAAAAGCGCATTATTAGAATTATTAATAAATCACATTTTAATGCTCATACTGACCCCATCTTTAAGGACCTCGGTATACTAAAATTTAATGATATCCATTTGCTTCAACTGGGCCAATTTATGTATTCTTGCAAAAATTCATTCTTACCTCCAAAGTTTAATAACAATTTCTCTCAAAGCAATCAATTCCACTCTTACAATACAAGAAATTCCCAGGCCTACCGTCTACCGTATTGTCGTACAAACACGAAGAAGTTCTCGCCCTTTTTTCAAGGGCCTAAGTTTTTTAATTCACTTGACAACAAGATCATCAACTCTCAATCCCTCTCCTCTTTTAAGAAAAAACTGAAGATTAAATTATTGAGTAAGTATGAAAACAGTTTATAAATCTTTCCATCTTCGACTTTTCGCCTTCTTCTCTTCAATTGATGTGAAACAGCTCTAGCTCATAGTTCGAGGAGGCCTAACCTCTCATAAGCTCCTATAGTTTCTGTTAGGTCTCCTCGCCACTTCTTTTTTTTTTTTCTTCTTCTTTTCCTATATTTTTTGTAATTAGTGTGGCAAATAAAATAAAATAAAATAAATAAAAATTTCCTTCCAAATGGCTGAAAGCCATCCCAGTGACCTGAAAAGCATACAGTGTACAATGAATAAATGACAAATGAATAGTTTTAGTTGAAGTACAACATAAAGGAGCAAAAAGGATAAACATTAACATGATGAAAACAGTGTTGAAGAAAATGCAATGGGAAGTCTTGCATCAGTCTACAATAAATTACAGTTTTATTGCAATGGAAGAAGTAGAGTAACAGTGTTGTTGTCTTATGTACTGACAAAGATGGATGTTGAAAAAACGATGTGACTCATTATTTTGTTGCAGGGGAAGAAGGATACAATTAAAGTAGCACTATTTTAATCAAATAATAATTATTATGTATCATGCTTATCGTAAACTACCTTTAAGTAACCTATGTATGCAATGTTCCTTGGGTCACCTTTTACAAACACAGGTTGATGAAGAAATTTGGTACAGCAACATTCACAGTAGAGTTCTCTATTTCCATTGGGCCGAGCAGTGGCTTGCAATACTTCATCAGCACTCAAAACATTCTTGCAGCCCTCTCTGACACATCTTGCAGGCAAACACCAACTTTTATCAGAGTCCCAGAACCAAGCCAGTTCTGCAAATCTAGATCCATCCCAGACCTCCTTCTTGATCTTCCAGCCATCATCATTTCCATTTATCCAGTGTTCCTTCTCTGACCAGTGAGCTGTCATCTTTGAACACATGTCTGGGTCCTCTGTCCACTGCTTAACTTTGCTGTGCAATCCAAGGTAATAATACTTAATAGTTCCTACTTCTCCACAGAAACGACACTTTTCAGATGCAGACTGCATGATGTCCCAGTGCTGCTTGTGTCGCATTCAAACAAATGAAGTATTCATGAGCGTCCTCATAGCCTACATCCTTGAGATATTTTTTGGCTTCTTCCCAGTCCTTGGGCCAGGAACATTTCATTGGGTGATCGTTTTCATCAATACCTTTCCCTCAGCAATACATACGGCGTGCAAAGCATAGCAGGTCTACAATTGTGGCTAAAGAAGCACCTGTTTTTGTGCTCAGTTCAATGGTTTCAAAAATGCTCTTCACAATCCCATACTTTAAGTTCTGTTCTTCAGTGCTGGCAACTGTTACATTGCTTTCCTCAAAATCATTGCATTTATCACTGATATTTTCATTTGCAGAGCAACTTGGAGACACAGCCGAATGGATTTGAGAATCAGGAGATTCAATATATTCGAAACTGTCAGTCACATCATCTTCTAATTCTTCATCAGTGGCAAATATTCCAATGGATGGATCTATAGCTACCAAAAAGAAGCCAAAGAAATACACTAGCTTACTCGCATTAAAAAAATAACGTTTTTAACTTGCAATAGGCACAGAAATAATGCAGATGAATTCACTTAAGCATTATAAGCTTAGAAATATGCTTGACGAAATAAAGAAATATGAGATTAAGCTAGCTCAGTTAATTGTTTATTAAGTTACGCTTATTTATTTATAATTTTTGTTCCCATCCCTCTCCCCATCTCGTCTCCCATTTTACTTTTGCCTTTCTATTGACTTTTTGATTTTGCAAAGTGTAACATTTAAAATATTTTGTTTTTTTCCCGCCCTTTCCCCTGTAACTTTTGTTTTCTATTGATTATTGATTTTGTAAAGTGTTGTAATATTTAACTGAGACGAGCATTTGTAAAGTGTAATATTCAAAGGACTAACATTAATAATAATAATAATAATAATAATAATAATAATAATAATAATAAAGACTGGTCTTTTGGATGGTTTGCAATAAACTTTTCAAAGCACAATATATTAAGACTTTATTTATAGATAACTTACCTGGCAAATTGACTGCATTGGCAGCTTCAAACTTTCTCTAAAATTCTAAGTGGGATAATTGAGTCCGGTAATTCACAGGTTTTCCATTGCAGGAAGTGCAGGTACAGTGAACATGTACTGTTTTTTTAGCAGAACAAAAACAGAGAGACGATGGCCGTTTTGTTGCGGTTTCACTCCTGTCTCTCTCCGCCATGTTTCCAGCTTCTAATACATGCGGCCAGCGGTGGCATATTCAAGTGACACAACATGCACATTATATAAACGCCCAATCCAGATCATCCAATCAGGCTACAGAAAAGTGGCGGGATTGCGAGGAGTGTTCATTTCAACATGGCTTCTCCACGGGGAAGGTTGTATCGGTCGCAGATGCCACCAGAACGTCGTAGAAGCGAGGAGAGTGGTGATTTGGATTCTTCAGGAGATACGTTGTCGGTGGACGAGGAGAGCCCCGTTGAAACGCAATCAGATGTGTTGCCTGTTTCGTTAAAGCGTTCGAAAAGTGTGCTCGTTCCAAAGCGGGGGTCAAATGACAATGCAAAAGGTAAGTCTTAAGTTCCCGCCAAAACCGATGTAAGCCTTAAGCTAACATTAACGTCGAACGTGAACTGTTTGTATAAGACAGGTTCTTTTTCTTTTATTCATTAGATTGGGATGTTCAAGAAGTCAAGGAATGGGCAAAATCCATGTTTAACGAAGAGGTTGCTGCAAACTTTGAAAGAGAGGAAATAGACGGGACTACATTGCAATCGGAA